ACCTAAAGTGGTTGAACTGCCTGGAAAGGAGACCTGAAAATTTATGCACCCGTTAACCATCTCTCCTTCCCCACCTCCCCATCTTTCTCCATACAAGAAAAGGAAATAAAACCCTCCTCCTAACCCCCGTGTAAAAGCGCAGATCAAGTCACGTTTACGCGCATCCTCACACGGCGTTCGCCGGGCCAGACATTCGATTGTCTAATCACTCCGTAATTTTTGAGTATGCAATGTGCAACAATCCCAACAGCTCGACCAAAAGATAGCAGAAATGAGAATAGGATCAACGACTGCACAAAGTCCCTACCCTACTCATGAGTGCATCAAAAGGCGGTAAGCAAAGACGAAGGCAAGGATCAAGTAGAAAGATAAGCAACAAACATGACATCCATTCATTCATTCATGCATTCATACACCATATCCGAGATGAAAAATCGCAAGACAAGTGTGAGCGGAAGGAAAACCAAGTCCAGATTTCGAAAAACAGAAACGGACAAATCACCCGGAGCCGAAATCAAAGTTTATATAGAAGAGACAGGAGGGAGAAAAGATAAAAGAAACAGCAAATCCGCGTCCATCAACCTGAGCTCCCTCTTCCTTTTTTTCTCTCTCCTATGCGGACAGTCCGTCGTCGCGCACCAACCCACGAAGCCGTCACCCCGCTTAGTTCTCCCGCACCCGTCAGGTTCGCCCGCGCCCACAGTCCGTCGTGGTCCGCGTCAACCCCGCGTGTTTGGCACCAGCTCGTCAGGTCACCCGACTCCTGCTCTACTCACCTCTTACTTCGCTCGTGTGCCGACCCTTGCTGATCGCGCAACCCCGAGTTTCCAACAGCTGGTTAAGAAAGCTAACTAATCGAGCAGCCGAAATTTATAGCGTGCATGCATGCGCGAAGAACACGGAATTACAAGGACTTAGAGGGACGATTAGAGAAGAAATGCCTACGTTCTGCATGGCCCAATTGCGGCGTGGGGGACGTAGCCACTCTCCACGCATCGATCCGATCATGCAGAGCGAGGCTACCAAAACTCAGCGAAAAAGAAAGAGAAGAAGGGCGGGAAAGACGAAGCACAAGAAGAAAGATTGTAGCGGACCTTTGGTTGGTTGGCCTGTGAGACCAGCCCCTTGGCCTGTTCTCACAGACGTGTGTTCTATTCGAGGGCAGTCCAATCCAGTCCAGGCTGGTACCTCTGTTGGTACCAGCCAGTCCAATCAAGTCCCGTCAGTCCGCTGGGGTATACCCCAGTAGTTGTCTGTTTTCGGATTCATTCTACACTTGCACGGTTTGGAGTACGTGCGTTGGAGTCTTGCTTGGGAGCTGCGTTATGTCATCTCGCTCCTCCCTCATCCTCCAGCTCCATCACTATCCCAGGCGGAGCACCTTCCCGGTGGGTCCGCTACATTGGTATCGGAGCAGGCGTTTCTTCATGCTCCCTTCCCCCACCCACCCCCTCCATCACTTGCCACGTGGCTTAAGCAAAACGCTCGCCACTTCTACCCCCGAAATCTCGCTGTTTATTTATTTTTCTCCCGCCTTCCCCCCCCCCTATGCTTGCTATTTTACTTCCTTGATTAGGTCACCGGTACCCTACCCTAACCACTTAAACTTCGGTTAGGGTTTTTGTAGGGTTTAGGGTTCTTCAAAACCCCCCTACTTCCCCGTCCTCTTCGGGCACCCTGGACCCGAACCACCCCTCCCCCTTTGACGGCGCCCGTGCTAGCCTTGCTAGCGCCGTTCGCCGCTTTCTACCGCGGACCTCTTCTGGCTCCCTCCAGTCCGGTCCGTCATCTCCCAATGGCCGACAGTGTGTCAGACGCCGCCGACACGGCGATGACCACGGCATCGGGCTCCACACCCGTGCCGGCGGACCAAGGCCATCAGCCCCAAGGGGATCTGCACACCCTCCTCACCTCCCTCCTTGCGCCCATCCAGACGCAACTCGCGACCCTTGTGCCCATCCAGGCGCAACTCGCGGCCCTCACGCCCTTACAGGCGCAGGTGGCGACCCTTGCCGCCGGCGTGCGGCAACTCCAGGACGCTGGTCATCCTTCCTATCCTCACCCTATCTCTTTTCCTGGCCCCCAGTCCGGGTCCCCCGTCCTCCAACAGGGTGGCCACGGTGGAGCTTCCTCCTCCGCTGCCCCCGACCCGGCCATCTTGGTGACCGTCCACGCCCCTAGCACGACGGCCGCCACAAGTCAGGTCCTCCCTCAGTCTACGGGCGCACCCGCCCAGACCTCGGTCACTACGGCCACGGTACCACAACCCGCTACCATGGTCGCAGCTTTTTCGGGTGCCCCACTTCTCCCTCCTCTTCGCACGACCGCAGCGCCACCTGGCTCTACTCCTTGTGGGATGCCTCGCGCCGCTCGTGCGTCTCCCCCTGCCACACCTCGCTCGACCTATATTCGAGGTCTCGAGGACGGGATCGCCCAGCTCCGGACCGACCTCACTCTCTCACGCTTTCAGCCACCCCCACCCTCACAGGTGGCCGTGCCTTCCGGCGCACCCCCTTCTTCCTCTATTCTTCCTTCCATGCAGGTTCGCTTCCCTTGCCCTGCACCCTACCCATCCCCATCCTACCTCCTCCCCATCCCCTCGGTTGCTGCGACCTCTTCCACCGCGGATCCCGCGCAGCATGCCGCTGTTTTCCCCGCCGCTCCACCATGAGGCCCGGGCGTACAGTCAGTTGCGCCTCCTCCTCCAGGACCTGCGCCGACTTATTCCGCCGTAGCCTGCTTCCCGTTCCCCTCGCCGCCAAAACGGTGGCGCACCACTCATCCGCTTGTCGAACATTGCCTTGTATGACAGTACAGGCATACGCGTGTCTTGGTGGCTGCAGTCTGCCACCTGCACGCTCCAGCTCATGGGCGCCACACACGACACGTGGGTGGGTCACCTCTCCACGCGCCTACGTGGCGGTCCTTTCGAGGCCTGGGAGGATTTCTACACGTACTCCCTTCATGAGGGTCGGATCCCGACCTTCATGGATTTCCAGGCGTTCCTCGAGGATTGCTTCGGAGCCCGATACGACGTGACTGACGCCTTCGAGCGTGTCGTCACTACACGCTGGTCCGGCTCTGGTGGCACTGCCGCTCTGGATCGCCACATCCAGGTTTTTCAGGACGCCCGCCTCACTTGTGACGTGGCGTTCCTCCCCGAGGCTGCCCTTATCGATCGTTTCTTGGCCAGCCTTCCGCTCGAGTACCGCTCCGAGCTATGGCGGTACGAGTTCACATCGGCCTCGCACGCTTACGAGGCCGCCAGGGACCACCAGCGGATGCGAGACCGTCTTCACCCCGCTTCCTCCTCCCAGCCTCAGCGCACGGGCTACGCCTCCTCCTCCTCTCACGGCACTTCCCAGCGCCGTTCCCCTTTCCGCAGTCGCCCCCGCCATTCCACGCAGCAGGGCCACCACTTCTCGCGCCGCTTCAGCGCGCTCGAGTATGGTGAGCAGGGCATTGGTGCCCCGCTGTCGCGAGAGGGTGACCATAACGACGACCTCAATCTCGGCGATGTCGTCCACCACCACCTAGAGGACTCTACTCTCCATATGGCTGAGCGCCTCCAGCTCATCCTCTCCACCCTTTCCCGGGCACGCAGCCGCCCTGGTCACGTTGGCGCGTCGCCCCCCGAGGTCCCTCAGCAGGACCTCCCTCAGGGCTTTGTTCCTCCTCGCGGTGTCCTTTCCACTGCGGAGCGCGCGGTTATTATGGGCCGACGTAGGTGTTTGCGATGCCGTCAGGACGGTCATACCTCCTCGCGGTGCCCTTACACTACCACCCTCGACCGCCACTACGTTGACCTTTCCCGCCAGCGTCGTGCTCAGTCCCCCCCCGGCGCCTCGCATCCCCGCGGCGCCTCCTAGCCACGGTGCAGTGTAACCCTGCGCCCTCCTCAGTAGTCGGCTTCCCGACATCCCCGTCGCGGTTTGCCCCTATCGCTACTGAGGTTGAGGTCTCGCAGGACCCCACAGAGTGTACTCAGCCCTCTGTCGCCGTACCGTCTGCGCCCCCGCAGACCACCGTCTCCCCTCCTTCCCCGCCGTGACTACCGACGCGTCGAACAATTCGCTCAGCCCGTTGCAATGAGCAGCTTGCGACTCGAGAGGACGTTGTGTCCTCTCTTCTGGACTTGAGCATGCTCCAGGCTCGTCAGGGGCGACTCACCCTCCATGTCACTGCACTGCATCGCCTTCTCACCATCCTCTCTGACCCTGATCGCACCCTCCCGATCATCCCAGTACGACTCGGGACCTCCACGAGGGTGTACTCAGCGCTGTGGGATTCCGGTTCTCAGGGCGACTTCATTCACCCATGCGTGGTGAAAGAAGCCCGCTTACGCACGACAGGGTCTCCGACTCCCATCTCCGTTACCTTAGGGGATGACAAGACCCAGCGCTTCTTCGATCAGACGCTCACCGACCTCCCTTTCTTCCTCACTCTCGAGCCGACTGATCGTTCCCCGGCGTCTCGTCGCCACCGCTCCTCTACACATTTCGATGTGATGGAGACGGGGTACGACTTCATTCTCGGCACTCCGTGGTCTCGCCGGTTCCGCAGCACCGAGGCCGATTGGGTGACCAACACTCTCGTTCTCAAAACGAAGTCTGGACAGACGTATCGCGTACCTTTCATAGGTACCACCGCGACACCACGCCCCAATCCTCCTCCCCCGGAGCCTTCCGTGCCCACACCATCTCCTTCTATCACTGTCACCTTGCCTCGGCAGTTCGCTCACTTCATCCGACAGGACGACGTCACCTTCTTTATGGTGAACGTGACGGATCTCTTACACTATGACCCACCCTGTCCCGACGCCGAGCTCATCCCTCTGGAGCTAGACCCTCCTTCCATCTCCATGGCTCCCATCTCTACTTCCATCCCTCCGTCGTCCGTCAAGTCCACCCGTCGTCGCGCGCTGATGCTGACGCTGAGGAACCTGCACGATATACGACCGACTTGGAGCCCGTAGTTCGTGACCTCATTCGAGAGTACCACGACGTTTTCCCATCGTCGTTCTCGTATGTTGGCATCCCACCGATGCGCGACGTCGAGCACTCCATCCAGCTTGTGCCTGACTATCGTGTTCACCACCAGGCACCCTACAGACTCCCGATCCCCGAGGCCACCGAACTCAAGCGTCAGCTTGAGGAGCTCCTGAGACTGGGTTTCATTAAACCCAGCAATTCCCCGTGGGGTGCACCCGTCCTCTTTGCTCGCAAAGCGGATGGAACTCTCCGTTTTTGCATCGACTATCGCGGCCTCAACCGCTGCACGGTTAAGAACAGCTACCCCATACCTCGTTCCGATGAGTTGTTCGACCGCCTAGCAGGCAACTGCTTCTTTACGAAGATTGATCTTCGTAGCGGTTACCATCAGATTCGCGTCGTTGCAGCCAACCAGCCGAAGACCGCGTTCCGATCGAGATTCAGCCACTACGAGTTCACGGTGATGCCATTCGGCCTCACCAACGCACCCGCTACCTTCCAAAGGGCGATGAACGACATCTTCAGGGACATCCTGGAGCAATACGTTCTCGTCTACCTCGACGATATCGTGGTCTACAGTCGTACCCTTGAGGATCACCTCAGACACCTCCGCGACGTCCTTGACCGCTTGCGCAGACATGGCTTCTACGCCAAGCTGAGCAAATGTCGCTTTGCCCAGCACAAAGTGGATTTCTTAGGACAGTACGTGTCTAACCAAGGTCTCCACATAGACGACGCGAAGATCACTGCTATTGCGGAGTGGCCCGCTCCCACATCCGCCAAGCAGCTTCGCAGCTTCCTAGGCCTGACCACCTACTACAGTAATTTCATCCGGGGATACGCTAGGTATTCCTACGTCCTTACCTCCTCCCTCCTCCGGAAGAACCCACCCTGGGCTTGGACACCCCTCCACGAGGACGCCTTCCGCGCCCTCAAGCAGGCGGTGACATGCGCACCGGTTCTTCACCTACCCGATTTTGATCGCCCTTTTATCCTAACCACCGATGCATCAGACTTTGTTGTTTGAGCAGTGTTTTCTCAGGTCTTCCCCTCCTCTCCTGATTCCTCTCATCCTCGTATCCCTCGCTTCCCACCACCTACTCCTACCACTGCTTCCCGACTGACGCCTACTCGTCCAGCTACTGACGAGCCTTCCATTGACTATTCCCCTACCATCGCCAAGGACGACACTGTCGAGTCTCGCTCACGTGATTGTCTGATAGCCTTCTACTCCCGTCAGCTTCTGCCCGCCGAGATAAACTACATCGCTGATGAACGTGAGGTTCGCGCAGTAGTTTATGTCGCTCGGCACTGGCGTCACAACCTGCACGGGGCACCGTTCACGGTGCGCACGGACAACTCTGATGTCCAGGCTTTTTTGACAAAGCCGAAGCTCACTTCTCGACAGGCTCGCTGGTGGCGCGACCTATCCGAGTTTAGTTTCACCACTGAGCACATCAAGGGTGAGACTAATTGGGTCGCAGACGTCTTATCCCGGCCCCCTGACCACGATAAGGAGCAAATCCAGCTCTCTTCCATCTCGGTCACCACCGTCCACCACTTGGTGATCGACGAGTTTCGCACCCAGTACCGCCACTGCCCCGACTATCGCGACATCCACGCGACTCTTCGGAGTGGCAAGACCGTCCCGAACTACTCTCTCGGGGACAACGGTCTCGTGTACTGGCACAATTCACAGGGCACCAGAGAGCCCCGTATTTGTGTTCCCTCCACTGGACAGCTACGTGTCCGAGCAGTAGCAGAGTTCCATGACCAGGCAGCCGCCGGTCATATGGGCTTCCACAAGACGTTGGCTCGTGTGAGCCGCCTGTACGTCTGGGCGAAGCGCAAGGACTTTGTGAAGGACTACGTCGCAGAGTGTCCCACCTGTGAGGAGGTGAACAGTGCGAACCACCTTCCTTATGGTTTGCTCCAGCCTCTTCCTATCCCTAAGGGTCGTTGGCAGTCCATCTTGATGGACTTTATCGGTCCCCTTCGTCCTCCGACCCCTCACGGTCATGATGCTATCCTGGTCGTCATCGACTGCTTCATGAAGCGTGCACGCTTTGTTCCGTGCTGCTATGCCATAAGTGCTCGTGAGGTCGCCAACATCGTGTTTGACCGACTCATGCGTGACCACGGCTTACCCCTGAGCATCATATTTGACTGTGACCCGCGCTTTACCAGCCGATTTTGGCGACGACTCCACGAGGTGTACGACACTCAACTCCGCTTCTCCTCGTCTTACCATCCTCAGACTGATGGTCAGACCGAGATCACGAACAGGACTCTCGGAGATATTCTCCGAAAGATTGTTCGTGACGACCGGCAGTGGGATCTCCATCTTGCCCACGCGGAGATAGCCTACAACCACGCCGTCTCGCCAGCCACGGGGATGTCGCCTTACTATTGCGACCTCGGCTATCACCCTCGTATTCTCGCGGACTTCCTCCGACCGTCACAAATGCACCCCGACACGAGTTGTCCCGCGCTGGATGATTGGGTTGCACACATGACGTCGATCATGAAGACCGCACATGAGCACATAGCCGCTTCCCAGACCCGCATAGCAGCACGTGCGAACCGATCGAGGATTAATCACCCATTCAAAGTCAGTGATGATGTGCTTATCGACGCCCGCCACTTACAGCTCGAAGCGGACACGCTTCGCAAGTTTCGGCGTCGCTTTTTTGGATCATGTCGCATCCTCCAGGCCGTCGGTTTTGATACGCCCTCTAGCCCGGTCAGCTTTCGTGTGAAGCTGCCCGACTATCTACGTCAGGCTCGTGTGCACAATGTCTACCACGTCTCGTTACTGCGTCCTTATCGCAGACCGTCTGAGAGTTTCGCTGGACTTCCATACGAGCGCCCTCCACCCATCATGGTGGATGGCCACGAGGAGTTCCTCGTTTCAGATATCATGGTGGATGGCCACGAGGAGTATCTCGTACGTTGGAAGGGTTACCCTGATGACGAGGCTACCTGGGAGCCCCTTGAGCACTTGCAGCACGCTCGCATGTTGGTGCGTGCCTATGACCGTGCTCGTCGTGCTGGGTTCACTGCTCCTCCTCAGCCCACTGACCCTCCTCCTTCTCCCTCGGCTAAGGAAACCGCTGAAGTCGAGCCTGCTCCATCTGAGGCAGACCTTCAGCAGCAGCCGGATGCTTCTGAGCGTCAACAGCGCACTCGTCGTCGTCGTGCTCGATACGATGATTAACTCTGACTTACCTTCCCACGTCTTTGACTTCTCCGTACTCCATCCACTCCAGTTTTGCTACTTCAACTCGTCGACGTTGCGGTTTTTCCTCGACGGCATTCCAGACTTCTCATTGCGTACATCATCGGCAGTTTCACGGACTTCGTCACGATCAGCTACTTCAGACATTGTCACTCTCTTACCACTTTACCCTGTACAGTACCCTTGTTGTGTCGCATGATGGTCTCCCTTTAGCCGGGTTCCTCTGAGTTGGGCTCTCCCTTGGTATACGTATAGGCATCGGGACCGTAGCGTTGCYCTGGSTTCCCATCTTACGGATCTAGCTCCGACTTCCCTCACTTTAGGAGTCATTTGCATGATTCCCCTACCCATCACTTTCCTACCCTCTGTCGGCCCTCACGCCCTAGTTAGGCAGCCCCGCATGCTTCATCTAGGTGTGCCCAGTATACCAGGCTCCCTTGTTCCCTTGCATGGTCGACCCTATGGCGGTCACCCCTTAGTCGAGCTTTACCCGCCCTGATGGTCTATCTGTTAGGGTCATTGGTTCTGTTCGCTCCCAGTTCCCTACTCTCATTGAGCCTGATGACACGTGTCTCCCTGTTTTCTATGTATGGATGCCCTTAGGAGTTCTCGACCCCTAGGGTGCATTCGCCACCCTCAGAGACCATCCCACCCTTTGGTTTGCGACACACTCCTCCTGTGACATCTGGTTGTTTTGTTGATTGCTTTGTTGCTCTCAGACTGAGGCTACTGCCTCTGACATTTCTAGGATTTAGTTGTTTAGCTCTTGCTGTTCTTAGGACTTATACACTAGTCAGTTGTTCCCAGACTGAGGCTACTGCCTCCAACATTCTAGGATCTAGTTGTCACTACTTTCTGCTTTCCTAGGACATGTATGTTAGTTAGTTGCTTCTGCTTTCCTAGGACATGTATGTTAGTTAGTTGTTTCTGCTTTCCTATAACATGTATGCAAGTTAGTTGCTTCTGTTTTTACTTAGGCTGTTAGTCGAGATATTGTTGATTTGTGATATTATATATCCTAGGTTGCATCGCATGGACTCAGCATGGAGCTTGCTCCGCATCCTAGACTACTCAGGTTTTCTTTTTCTTTGGTAGAGTTCCGCTTCTTGGCGGAAGTGTGTTTGCATCTAGGCGATCCATCACAGGCCGAGGATCGTGTAGCGGACCTCTGGTTGGTTGGCCTGTGAGACCAGCCCCTTGGCCTGTTTTCACAGGCCTGTGTTCTATTCGGGGGCAGTCCAGTCCAGTCCAGTCCAGTCCCTTCAGTTCGTTGGGGTATACCCAGCAGTTGTCTGTTTTCGGATTCATTATACACTTGCACGGTTTGGAGTACGTGCGTTGGAGTCTTGCATGGGAGCTGTGCTGTGCCATCTCGCTCCTCCCTCATCCTCCATCTCCATCACTATCCCAGGCGGAGCACCTTCCCGGTGGGTCCGCTACAAAGATACAGTTGCAATGGCGCCAGTCCAAAATTACAGTTACACACACGATTAAAGGCGCCGACTAATCAGAATTTCGTTGCAGCCGCACAAAGAAGCGCGTTAAGCAAAAAGGCGTTGCACGGCAAAAAGAAAAGTCCTAATTACAAAATTATTTAATTCCTATCTAATGCGGAAAAGGCAGAAAGCAAAAACTCTGAAAAAGAAAGTCCGAAATTCCGAGAGTCATTGGGGCTCGACAAGGTTCGAAAAGGAATTGGAAGAAGAATTCGAAAAGGAAATTTAAAAAAGAACGAAGAAAAATTCCCGTGCGATGTCCGCGCCTAAAAAGTTCCGAAACCGAAACAACAGGAACGGCGCCAACATTTATTATTCACACGCTCGACAACGCGCCAGCCATCCGAAAAAGAACCGACGCAAAAAATGAAGAAGCGAGGGTACTGATGCAATTTCCCATCCATCCCAATCTCTCATAATTGGTCCAACCTTCCCAACTTAGGACCCCTCATTGCAATCACACAGAAAGCCGCGCGCTACAGAAAGTGGTTCGTCACATATGTGACGTCCAGAGGGTTCCAATATTAGCAAGCTCCTGCTTGCTTGTTGACACGTGTCGATCTTTCTAATCGATCGACACGTGGAGCTCTTCTCTCTATGCCACTTACCATTCGAATGAGTGTGGATGTCGTCCAACGTGGCAAACACAGCTCTACTACTAATTCCTCTGGGAGGGTCATTGACAATCCAAGGAGGGGATTACACGTGTCGTCATCATGGCGCGTGTCCATCAGTCATACATCAGCGAGCGTCAGGGAGGGGAAAGGGGAGACGGTACATGGAGGGATGGCAAGGGGGAGGGTTGATTGGTAGCGGGGGAAGGGAGCTCTAAATTTCGGCCACTGTCTCCGGGAGCTCCTGATAGCGAACGATCCGGTGAAAGCGGGGGAATCGGTTGCCAGTGTGAGGGAGGGATGCAAGGTAATCGGGGTAGAGGGTGGTAAAGGTTCGGAAGAGCACCGCGCGGAAGTGATCGTGGTTCTCGCAGGCGGGGATAGTCCCCGTAATCATGCAGTATACCTCGATCATATTGTGGCCTCGCCACGCAGATCTAAGGAGAAGGATATGGAGGCAGAAGACAGGGAGGGCGCATCGGGTAGAAGGGTGGGGGTGAACAGTGACAGCGAGGCGGGTAGTGTAGAAAAAGCGGAAGGTATCGATGGGGAAGGGATTGTTGGGGAAGGTGATGCGACTAGTAATCTGGCGGAAAGAGAGGTGGTCAAGGGGACGGCGGGATAACGACCGGGGAAGAAGCCCGATGCCCCGCATCGGTACGTGGACGAGTTGGTGGGTGGTCGGTGGCGGAGGGGGAGGGGGATCAGCTTCGTCGCCGTCTTGCCGGTGCGGCCGAAGTCTCGGCAGTCGGCTCTCCATCCTCGGGCTTAGGTGGCTCTGGATCCCGGGCCCGATCGTCGGTGAGAGGATGACTAGCTGCGCTGGCGAATTCCAACTATCGCTTCCCGACCGCGATCTCTTCCCTCTTCTGCGCCTAGGCCTGCGCCCGAGCCTCGTCACGCACTTCCTCCTCAAATCCTTCCCACTCCGACTCTTCTAGCTCCTCCTGGTCTTCTTCTTCTTCCTCCTCGTCGTCTTGTTCTTCTTCCTCCTCCTCCTCACTTTGCTCCCCTTCGTTGTGCTCACTGTAACTCCCCTGTTAGGGAGTTTCTTCCTCGTTGGCCTCTTCTTCGGCTTCTTCTTCTTCCGAGCTTTCCTCTTCCGCTTTAATTTCTACCTCCTCGTTCTCGAAAGCCGTCCGATCTTGAAAGAAGGTGAGATCGACTATTTCGTGCGGGTCCAGATAACCGCGCCATGACGGTGGGTTGCCGCCGCTTCCTGGCTCCTCCAAGCACTCCGACCACTGAAGATATGGTGTCAATATGCGTGGGAGGACGTGCGGGATTGGGCTGTTGTCCCTCTGCGAGACGATCTCAAGTGGGAGGTTGTCGACCAGCTGCGCAACGGGAACCGTTAGCTCTTGCACGATCAGTTGGCGATGATCGGGCCGCACTGATCCGAAGAGGAATCCGAGCAGATCGCCCTCCACTCCCATTCGCCACGCCTGGATGATGAGCAGCTCAAGGTACTCGGCCCACTGGCGGTGATCCCCGTGCCGCGTCCACATGACCTTTACTCCGACCAGACACAACGACAGTTCGGCGAAGTGTTCTCGCCAACGCCTCCACTGTTGGGGATCAAGGAGGGGGACAGCGAGTGACTCCAGACAAAAGGAGAGATGCGGATGGACTCCGGATTGCCAGAAGGTGGGAAAGAAGGAAGGGAGGTCGAAGGTAGAGATTGGGGACAGGTTCATTGGGGACGGGTTCATTGGGGACGTTGGAAGGGGATAAGTTCAGGGAGCACCACCACCGGCTCGTGGTGAAAAACTCGGATCCCATCGAGGTCGACGCCGTCCGTGGGGAAAAGATTATCCCCGTGGGGCATGAGCCAACGATTCCACTCTGACGCCAACTGTTGCGCCCACAGCCAGAGCGTCGTCTTGATAGTCGTATGCCGCAGTGGGCTGATGGTGCTGATGTCGCCGCTGAAGGTGACAACCGTAGACACGTGGCTGATTCCAGGAGTTGATCGCCGATGAACCGCTACCGTCTCCGCCAAAACAACCGCCTGAGGACTGCCTGCAAAGCGAAACTCAGCGGTTGTGTACACTCCCCCAGTGCAGAAGAACTGCGCAAGTCGTCGAAGGTCCGGGCTGAGCCGCGGATGATGAACTTGTCGGATCGTCGAGATGGAAGGAGAACGAGAAGGAGACGGAGAGACAGGCGATAAGCAGTCGTCGTCCTCTTCCGCAACGGAGGAGGAATTAGATGAAGGCGAAGATGGGGAAGAAGGAAGGGGACGAAGGTAGGACACGTGGCGGATGATCGGACGAGCCGATCGGCTGCAGGAGACCTCAGGTGCAAGCTGCACGGTGTTCACGCCGTTCGGTCCGAGCTCAATCACGCGGAATCGCACGAAGAATCGTGGCGCTAGCTTACCCTGGCGAGCACATTTCCTCACCTGCACGATGTCCACCAATTTGTACTGGAGCCGTGGACCTGCATTCCCATTCCGGGCCTCGTAACTTCGGACCTGTCGGCCATGGGCCAGCTTAGTCAGTTTCTGGCGTTTTCGGGCTAGCCTGGGGAGGGACCGTTCCATTAACTGTCTCGAACCGTGGCCCTTGTGGGCCGGCGGTTGAGCGTTGATTCATCGGGGAGGCTTGGTATCGAAACGCAAGCGACGCTATTGGTCCTTAATTAGAAGGGGCTTAGGCCCGTCGATTCATGGGGCGTTCCGCGATGGACCGCCAAGATGTGATCTACAATATCGGGCCAGGGCCTGGGGTCCCGGGCCGCGATGTTTCGTCGCAGCGCTGTCTTTATCACCCTATTCGCGTTTTTTACCAGTCCATTGGATTGTGACATGTGGGGTGCTGTATTACGCACAGCGACACCGTGTATGACCAAGTTCCTTAATACTTCCCCTCTGAATTCTGCCCCGTTA